TTATTTAAATAATTATTGATTTAAAATGTATTTCAAATGAATATTCAACAGAATAATTGCATTATACTCCATACAACTACGCAATATTATGGAAATATTTATATATCCAATTAATTTGTTTGATCATTCAGTATATGATTTTATGTATTCAGTATATGTTTGTAGTGTAACCAGTTTGTCTATCTCAGTGCTGGAGTGGGCCGCACAGGCTGCTTCATAATTATTGACGCCATGCTGGAGCGGATGAAACACGAGAAGACGGTAGACATTTATGGCCACGTCACATGCATGAGAGCCCAGAGGAACTACATGGTGCAGACGGAGGATCAGTACATCTTCATCCACGAGGCCTTGCTGGAGGCCGCCACCTGTGGAAACACAGAGGTCCCTGCCCGAAATCTCTACGCCCACATCCAGAAGCTCACCCAGCCACTGCCTGGAGAGACCGTCACAGCCATGGAGCTGGAGTTTAAGGTGACTACACATCACCGCACCTATTTTGCTCATTAACAGACATATTAAAGGTGTATTTAGTTATACTTTACTTATTTAAAAAAGATGTACCCCTAAAACATGAATAGTACTTTGGATGAAGACTATCAGTAGCCTAATAAAAGCTAGTAGCCTAGTGACATCTCATCGAATGAGATGTCACTATGTTGAGATCACATGATCAGCTGAATATTAGTCATGTTGTCTTGATAACCCCCCTGTGTTGTTATCATTAAGGAAAACTAAATAAAAACAATGTTAAACCATAATAATAAACGTATAACCCTGATGCATCTATGCCACTAGGTGTCAGTGTAAGCCCATAACGACTGTTATATCAGTCAGCAAAGTCTAACAAAAATAGCGAAATAATCTGTTTGTAGTCGGATTGACGCTCAGTCAGACTGAAAAACCTTTATGTTAACACCTCAATAAATCCGACTGAGCTCGATCCGAATGAAATTTCATTCTGATTGGGATTTAACTGAAGTGTATACTTAGTTCTATTAGTTGGACACATCAAGGCAAAAATGTCAGCTAGCTTCAGCAGCAGTAGCTTTGGTAACATTCTCGCTGTGGCCTTTCCTGTTTCTGAACATGGCAACTATCATTGCACACATGCTGACATTTTGTTTAGAATAGTTATAATTAGTGTTATTTTAGCAACATTGACATACTATTATAGTTTAAATTAGTGCTGTCAAACGATTAATCGCGATTAATCGCATACCAAATAAAAGTTTTTCTTTGCATAATATATGTGTGTGTTCTGTGTACATGTATTATGCATATATAAATACACACACATACAGTATATATTTTGAAAATATTTACATGTATTTACATGTCTATATTTATATTCATATAATTTATATTATAAATAAATATATAAACAACATTTTTTTCAGAAATATATACATGCATGTGTGTGTATTTATATATATACATAATAAATAGACAACACACATACATATATTATGTAAACAAAAACTTTTATTTTGGATGCGATTAATCGTTTGACAGCACTAGTTTAAATATTTTACATTCGTTTTTACTTTATATTTTAGTTAAAAGTTTTAAGAATTTCATTATTTTTTGTCATTTTTAGTAGTTATTTTTAATAGTCTACGTAGTCTTTCTTCATTTTTATTACAGTTTTAGTACATCAGTGTAAACTAAATTAAGAGAAAAATAGTTCAACATAAAACAGAGAAAAAAACAGATTTTATTTCAAGTAACTTTTTTAAATTGTTTTCATTTTAGTTAACTGTAATATAACTATAATATAATGCACATGAATATGTGAATCAGAATGCAAAGTTTAGGGTACTCCGAACATTCAGAATCTGGAATCGGATTGGATTTGTTTGGATTGACAAAAACTAGCGCATGTAAACAAACCTAATGACTCTATACATGTTTTATTGAAAATGCTTTACTATTTCATCTGTTAATATTGCGGTTGGGATATAAGTGAATGCTGGTATAACTAGAATGCTTAACTCAGAGTGGGTTCTAGAAGTAGAAACAGCATCTGGCGCAAAGACTGCAGTGGGTACCCAGTACAGACAGAGCTTGTAGTACAGCCAACAGTCTCTACGCGCTCTCTGCTGATGTCCATCTGTGCTTTCTCTTCCCCGCTGCCAGTCACACCCTCGCTTTCCCAGTCAGACTGTTACGCCCGCACCCCTCTGTACTGCTGCAGAGCTCACCTTCAATTTACAATCACAACAGACACGCTTTAGTGCCATTTTGTTCTAGAGGACACCGCTCCCCCACATTAAAAAAAATATTATGTTTCAGACTGTTTTCCACTATAATGTTTCTGCCAGCTTCTTTACACTCGAGCTCTCTGAACCCAACACTGTTTCCACAGAGACTCGCCAACTCCAAAGCCCACACCTCACGATTCATCAGTGCCAACCTGCCCTGCAACAAGTTCAAGAACCGGCTGGTCAATATCATGCCTTTTGAGTCCACACGGGTGTGCCTGCAGCCAATCCGAGGAGTGGAGGGGTCTGACTACATCAATGCCAGCTGCATCGATGGATACAGGTAGCTGCTCATGCCAAACCATTACAAAAACATTGAGGAACATGTTTGCTTTAATTCTCAAGGTTTCGATCAAATGTGTTTTTAATTCAAGTAACTGCTTGCTGCCAAGTTGTAGATCTAGTAAGAAAAAACTGACTGCACAAGCAGTTGTGTTGCATTATGAATCGCTCCGACACATTTCAACGAATCATGAATCAGAGCTTGTGTAGCTAGAAGCATCGATTCTCATATAGTATGTTTCAGGCTTCAGGCAAAAAATCAATCCAGGGCCCAAAATTGAATAATTTTTACACCTGACAATGCAAGTTCATTTGAGAACATCCACAACAGGAGTTAAACATTCAGAGCAGCATACTTCACATTCGCATTCGGGTCATTTTGTGCAGATATAAGTCGTAATATTAAGGTTATGTAGTATAAATAACGAAGTGTATCCTATATGAGATAAATCTGATGAGTTAAATCCCGTTGATTAAAAACCTGCTATCAAAGTGCTTCATTGTACTGGTGATCTTCAGCGTGCGCAGCTCAAATGAAATACAGAACATTAATAACTATGACTGTCATATACTAAATTTTATAATGAGAGCACTACTGTAAAGAAATGTTGTGAATTCTTAGGGTTTAGCTGACGTTTTCAGTGTGTTGTTACAAAAAGCGCATCCACAGAAGTTGTTACACATTCTGACTACGTAACTTAGTTCAAATTCACTTGTGCTTGATTTTGTGCAATATAATCAGGGCCTGAATTT